ACAAAATTTAGTTTAAAAAGCACCATAAACTTAATCTCCTCTCTCTCTCTCTCTCTCTCTCTCTCTCTCTCTCTCTCTCTCTCTCTCTCTTCACAGTCTCTTTAGGGCAGGTTGTGTTGACTCAGTCTGGAGATCAGACAGTGCAGCCTGATCAAACTGTCACTACTACCTGCAAACATGACCCAGCAGTTCGGTGTGTTAAAAAAGATACAACACAATACTGTATGTCCTGGTATCATCAGATTCCTGGAGAAGCTGGATGTTAGAGCTTCTGGAGTTTCCTAGATTCGGTGGCAGTGAGAGTGGAAACCACATTGACTTCACTCTGACCATCAGTAAAGTCCAGCCTGAAGATTCAGGAGTTTATTACTGTCAGAGTGAACATAACACAGGAACTTCCACAAACATAGTGTGGGTGTTCACACAGTGAAATATCATCATACAAAACCTCCTTCAGTCAGACGGCACGGCTGCAGATGCTGAGGGGGAAGATGACACGATCCACTGATAAAAACTAAACACACACACACACGCACACACACACACACACGCACACACACACACACACACACACACACACACACACACACACACATCTAAATATACACAATGAATATCAACATAAACATCTTTATTCATCCAGTGATTAGTCTCTTTTCATCTCTCTCCCTCTGTCTCTCTCTTTCTCTCACATTCACATACACTCTTCACAGAATGCCCTGAACACACATAAACCTAAACTTTTGTGTTTTGGATGCTGGCATGCTGATCACCCAGCATAATGATGATAGCTGACCAGTTGAATCAGCACCAGACCAGTGTAAACCAATTAAACCAGCTTAGACAAGCATGGAAATCTTTTTTTAATTCCTATTTTGAAAGCTTTGAGAATAAACCCCTTAAAATCCTAGGCTTACTTCCTAATACTGCATTTACATGTTGGTGGTAGATGAACAACAGCAAACCAGTTTTTCTGCCAGTGGAAACATTGCTCTGGCCACAGCGGGGAAAAGAAAGTTTTATCACAAGTTTAATTTACTTCTGCCGGCTGCAGAATTGGAATAATGTTTTTTTTGTTTTTTTCAGAAACATGCTGAATGAGAGTAGGTGAAGTCCAGGCATTGCTGCTCATGTACATCAACTCCTGAACTTCAACAAAGGCGGACTATTAGAAACATTAGTGTGTGTTCAAAACACTTTTAGGATAAAATAGTGACTGCACCTTTCCTCTGCGCAGGAATGGCAGCAATGCTATCACCATGGCAACATTCATATTGGTGCATGCTGCTGTCAGCTGTGTACAGTTGCCATTTATGCTATGAGTCATGGAACAATGTTTTTTGTTATTGTTGTTTTAATGGCAACATGTAAACACAGCACAAGGCATACCGTTACTGTATGGACTACAATGCAAACTGGCTATTCTTAACTTATAGAAGGGTTAGTTAACACTCTACTATACACACATAAAAAAGATCTTTCATCAAGGGTTCTTTAGTGAAGAAAATGGTTCTATATAAAACCATGAACACTCAGGGAACCCTTTGCATGATTAACAGGTTCTTTGCATGGTAAAATGGTTCTTGGAGTTTGACCCCTCAGTTTTGTTTTCTAAACAGCACTTTCATGCTGAAGACACTTGGCATCAGCAGCTCATGCTTCAGTGCTCTGAGTGAATTTATAGCTCTGTCAGTTTCACAATTCATGACTGAGAGCTTTTCTGAATAACAATAACAAGCATTTCTGCATGAACTCAAAGTAAGTATACCTCCATCTTCTGTCACAATGTCTTCCCCTTCTGTGAAACTCTTGGACCTGCTCAGTGTGGAATGGCTCATTCCAGTTCCTGCTCCACTCTGGCTCCACCCCTTCATTATTACACACACCTGTGACTCATTCCTAGGACTGATTCCCACCCCTTCATCTACTCATTTTGCAATGAGCCCTGTAAAGTGCCTGTGTTTACTCCTGAGTTCTAGGCCATGGTCTCTTTGGACTGTGGTTTTCCTGTGCTTTGCTTTACTGGTTTTAGATTACAGATTTGCCCTGGGTGTACATGCCTGCCTGCTTTCTGATCCCTCTCTATGATTGCTATGAGTATTGGATTGCCCCTAATAAAACTACAACACACATGTGTCCTGCCTACAAACCCCTAATGTTATATCTTCATCTGAACACTTTTAGGAATCTAATGACATCACATGTTTTTTTCCTTGAAATCACTTGTAACTGAAACATTGAATATTTTGACTTTATCTGCAGGGGCAGATAAAGTTCTTTCTCAGTCTGGTTTTCCATCAGACAGTCACTACTGGCTTCAAATCAAGCTCTGAGTTTTATAGGACTGCCAGTGGTTCTGACTCCCAGCTGGAGAAGCTCTTAAACTCTTGATATTATACTACAATTAGACATTCTGGAGTCTCCCCCAAGATTTCTTCAAATGTTGAATTTATGGGTAATTTTATAGCCTTTTACAGAAAGAAGAGTCAATATTGTTCCACTCAGCACTGATGCCTTCAAACAGTTGAAAAACATTGCAGAGCTAGCTTGTGTTTAATGTGAAACCAAATATTCTCCATATGGGTGAAATCTGGACTCTGACCTGGGGAAAACCATTAGTGTTTTGGGCTTAGCTCTTTTTTTCTTTTTTTCGCACGGAAGTGTAGTACAGGAAGACTACTAGGACATTTACGTTTCTGCAGCACAATTACGGGGCATGACTTTGGGAATTACGATGCACAACTTTGGGACTTTGTGAATTGACACCCCATGTCTCCTCCAGGATGCTGTAAAAATAACAGCTTAGGAATTTCTCTAAGAATAGCATTTTAAAAGATACAAAATCAGTAAAATCATTGGCTGAAAATATATTAATTAATTAATCATAATCTCAATTCTGCTGCACCAAACCATTCTTTATTGTTTCTGTTCTAATTGTCTTTGGACAAGTGAGATGATTCTAGTGAAAGCTGTGTATTCAGCTCCTTTTGGCAAGAGTGTAGCTCTGGGTTGAACATTGGAGGGTTTGTAGATATGAATGTTTTATATGTAACATCCTTTTTTTAAATAAAAGTTAAAAAGTGGGACAAGTTATGTAACACTATGTATGTTAACAATGTGTAATATAAGTGAGAGAGCACAGTTAAAACTGTTTAATAACTTACAATTAATGACATACAATGTGTTTCTAGGCACCCCTGCCTCACTTCCTGCCTCACTCCCTCTCTGTAATATGGCTGTTCTCACCCCATGTCTGTCAGCCTCTAACTCTTACACCTCCCTCCTTTCTTTTTTGATGCCAACCATAAGAACACAAATTCATATTTTGAATATCAACACAGACCTCACCTCACTCTCGCTCCCTAATGGTCTAATGGTTTAATACCTAGAAGTGTGTGATGTTAGCTATTAGCGAGTGGACCATAGGAGCAATGTTATATAGGTAATCTATATAGGGAAAGTATTTATGTAATGTAGATTGCTTTATGAACATGATAACTGAGGAAAAAATATATTACAGACAGTCAGATCAGTTAGCTACCACAAACACAGCTAATGCTAATGTTAACTAATATTAGTCTCAGCCTCAGACAAAGTAATATGTACTGTCTACAATCTGTCTACAGCGATATTTACTGTCTATAAAACCTCTTGTGCTGTAGCTACAGCCCATAAAACAATTTGCATTAAGTATCTTTTTTATACAGTAATGTGTTAAATCCATGCTAAACACATTAAAATGCACCATTACTTGCAGCAACTCTCTCGCTTAATATGATGTGCTTGATGAAGGATCCTCAGTGAATCTAAGGAATGTTTAAAGTACTGTTTATGCTCTGGATGCAATCAAGTTGGTAGAACTCAGGGGAAAATATAATTTTTGTCAATATTTATCATGTTAGTATTAGTGATATTGACACACTATGATAGTAAACTATGATAGTTCATTCTGACACTTAAAGCACGTCCACACCAAAAACTGAATCACGAACTGTCACTCTGCTGTTGATTTATCCATTTTACATTTTCATTTTCATTTTGTCAGATATGCAGCCTATTGCTATGAAAAAGAAACATTTTTCATTTTTATTTTGGTCACAAATGACTCATGTATATGTGAAAAATTAGGAAAAGGAAATGGCAAAAGAGGTTTGCATTTACATTTTACTGTTTTAATTTTAATTTCTTTTTGGCTGGATTTGTCTCCCATACTCCTCTACCAAACTTTACATTTATATTTACAGCATTTAACAGTGCTCTCTGAATAGACAACAAAAGTGCTTTGTAAACCTCACTCATCTATACTGCTGGAATTCACACTTCGGATTCTGATTGGATATAATATGGCATCCTAAAATTACTGTGATTTCCATTACATTGATGACGCTGGAGTGTTATTGGTGTATTATTATGGTGGTAATAGTAGAAATGCGCAATATGAAACTTAACATATCTTTTTGAGATACTGATATAAGTAAAAAAATAAATTCTTATTTAGCACAGAGGAAACAAAGATATCATGAGTGCAGTATGTATGTTTTGCTGAAATTTTCTCAGTTTAAACTTCACACACACTTATCTTACCTCTCATATTTCCCTAACTACTCTATTAGACTCCGGATTGTTGCATATCCTGATTTCTTGAGAAAATAAGGTGTTCATTGTCTATGTGCCAATCAAACATAAAGCTACTACAGAGAAAAACACACATCTAAACACAAGATTTCCCAGAAGCGTGTGTAAAGCAAAGTGAGTTTGCATGTATATGTTTGCATGAGTGGAACAGATGATTCATTTCCAGATCAGAACTTTGTAGAGTTTTTGTAATTACAACACAGTTATTTACAATAATATTTTAAAATATAATTTAAACACAGATAATAATCTCTATTGTATGTATTATGCACATATCAGATAAAAAGTGAATTGCCCAATACTGTCTTGATTCAAAAAGCTTTTATTTTGCAATCTTTAATAAAGCATATCATTTTAAAGCATGCAGAACCTTTGACAATAAAATCTGAATTGGATCTTAAAAACTGTTTAGCAGCACATCAGCAGAAACTCTAAAACAGCACAGACTGATAGAGAATATATATATAAGCGTGTATATAGTACACTCTCAAACGTCAGTGCACTGCTTTGTGGTCAAGCTGTGGGTGACTGGGCTTTGGCTGCCCTGTCTGGCCTCACAGCTCACTGCATGTGCATTTTTCCACTGCTGCTCAGTGAGGCTCAGGGTGCTGCTCCAGCTGTAGAGGCCGTTTCCCTTCTCCAGCACACCCCCACTCACACTCACACCTGACGTCTGGCTGTTGCAGTCCACCTTCCAGCTCAGCGTCCAGTCTGAGGGGAAACCCTTGTTGGCCAGACACACCAGTGTAGCCTTCCCCTGCTTCAGCTCCACACTGGATGGGGGCAACACTGTGAGGGTGGGCCGAGTGTCACCTGCAGAGAGAGAGAGAGAGAGAGAGAGAGAGAGAGAGAGAGAGAGAGAGAGAGAGAGAGAGGGAGAGAGAGAGAGAGAGAGAGAGAGAGAGAGAGAGATGATAGTCAGGAGTTTCTCTTGTCTGAAATAGTCATATTCAGTTCTATCAGTCTTTCTGAGACTCTTTCACTTCCCTTTAACAGACTTTATGTTCATAAAGCAGAACTGAGAGCAGCAGCTCATTAAAACACATAGTAAATAATCAACATGTTAAATTAGTTTTTTTAACGAATCTCTAAACACACTTTAATAATAACTAAAGAACAAATGAAAATTCTGAAAAGAATAAATCAGCAAAATAATGATAGTATTTTTAGGTATGTAAAATTCAGATGTCAAACAAATAAATTAGATTAATTGAAATTACTTTAAATTGTTAAATGTAAACATATTTCATATTAATTAAATGATTAATAATGAGTTAAATCAATGCATAAACTTTTTATCTATTTCATTTTCAAGTGTCTGTGTATTTATTAGTGTTACTCTAATAATGTAATAACTCCACTGAACTAATAATCATTTTTAGAGACTATTTTGAAATGTAGGCACTAAATGTTACCCTGAAATTTACTTCAATTCTAGCAATTTCCATTATAAAGCAGATCTTGCTAAATCAACTGAAATAGTTTTATTATTATTATTATTATTATTATTATTATTATTATTTTATGACTTTTTTATTTATACAGAAAAATGGGAAAAGAATACAAATTAACCATATTATAACTAAAAATACTGATGTACTGAAAAATTACTGATACTAAAATAAGGTAAATCACATGTATGGTATGCTTTTTAAATACTAGGTAAACTGAAATTAAAATTAATTTTAATTTTAATATTTAAACAACTAATACAGTTTTCCAAATTGTAATTTATTGGATCTTCTACAAAATTATACATTATAATAAGAAGAAATTGACTTACTTCCAACAGAGAGTCGAGTTCCTCCACCAAAAGTCCACCACAGTGATACAACCTCATTCAGTGTCTGTACAAAAACCTCCTGCACTAAAGCTGCACTGTTTAACTAGAACAACTCAAACCTGCTACACACAATGCAGCTTCATTAACCAGAAAACCCAAAACACATCACAGATGATGTTTCTAATTCATGATTTATAGACATTTACAGCATTAACTTCTGATTCTAGTGTTTACAGTCTCCTTCAGTTTACTCAACATTTTATTCTTCCTTGATCTGTCTTTGGTTAAAACCAAAAATTTCCTTATGATATTCTTTCTTCATGGATTTCAGTATGAAAACAAGAAATTTTCTACACTTACTTGAATGCTTCCTCAAAAATGCCCAAATCTGAATTACATTCACTCGCTATCCAAAAACCTCCAGACAGATTCTGACAGTACCAACGAGCTGAACTCAACAAGGCAAGATAAAGTTAATTATAGTAATAGCCCCCTAGGGGACTACTGGAGTAAGGACAGCAATCTAATGAGAGAGAGAGAGAGAGAGAGAGAGAGAGAGAGAGAGAGAGAGAGAGAGAGAGAGAGAGAAAGAGAGAGAGAGAGCGAGAGAGAGAGAGAGAGAGCTGCATGAACTGATAACTTTACAATGCTTTTGACTGCTAATAACAGAAACCACAGTGTTCATTTATATGTAGGTGCTAATCTATATTGACAGGTCCTGCAACAACACCTGCATTGCACACATAAAAATAATACATTGCATAAAAGGTGCAAAACAAAGATCCAGGAATCCAAAAAATTCATATAAGAAGCCATAAAATTCAGTCACTAAATTACACAGTATGTAGTACTGTATTACTTTATGTTTTTAATTTATGTTTGTGCTACAGCACTGTCGAGAGCACTTTAAGAGTGCTGGTGTGATCAACACTGGAGACTTCAGTCCCTTCAGACTCACTCACACACAGCACAATGATGACCACACTGATTCTACTGCTGACCACACTGACCTTCTTTCCTCGAGGTGAGAGCGCATTTATTTCTACAGTCTTCTGAAGTGTTGAGACTTATAAGAATGTAATTTTAATGCAAATAATGTTTTAGCATTTTTGAGATAGATATTGATTCTCTTATTTGTTTTACCCTCTTTCTTCACTTTCCCATCAAGAGGTTCAGTCTCTTCAGTTTCTGTCTGATGAAACAGGAAAGAGTCCTTTTAGCTGTATTGCAAGTGATGGAGTTGATGACATGAGCTGGAGAAGCTGGAGAAGCTCCCAAACCCCTGACACACATTGTGGTGTGTTTTACACTACAATGAAGCAACATCTATTCTAAGAATTTAAAGTGATTTAATGTTCTACCTGTTGACCTGTGGTGTTCCTCAGGGCTCAGTTCGTCTTACAGATATATGAGAACAGATCAGTTAATGGAATTACAACTAAACATAGTTACAGTATTTGTACTGTAATAGCTATGTCACCTGTTCTTATCTACAGAAACATATTACTGTCATGTCTTTTCCTGCCATCAAGCTGTTGGTTTCCTCACTCAGAGTGGACATTCAGCTAACTGTGTGAGAGGTGAACTGCTGACTGTGATGGCTGACATGACACACCTCAACACTGGCACAGCTGACCAACCACTAACTTAAGGTGTAGATATTTCTACAGCTGCCTGCTGTCTGAACATGATGTACACTATTCATTAGAACACACGTAAGAGAAGATTTCAGAATCTGTAATATTAAAGAAAGAAATGAGTGATTTCATTTTAAACACAAACTTGTAACACAAAAGTATTGTTGCCCTGAATTCATGTTAGATATTTTAATGCAATTCTCTGTACCAACATATGATGATCTTAGCACTTTTGTAAATTTAACACAGGCCAGCATGGCTCTCTGTCAAGCTACAGTCAGAAAGATGATTTTCATGCTGAAGACACTTTGCATTAGCAGCTCATGCTTCAGTGCTCTGGGAGAGTTTATAGCTCTGTCAGTTTAACACCTCATGACTGAGAGCTGATCTACATGATCTCACATCAAAAAGCCATCATGACTTTAATCACCATCTTCATCTGGATGATCATCACCTGCACCTCACGTAAGAAAACACTGATTATAAACGTTTGATAAACTTATTCACATAATGTAATTATGATCCATTCAAGTATAAGATTAAATGCATATCAGTGTATTAATAAGAGTCTAATTCAAATTCCAGTTGTGTGAATTTCTCTCTCTCTCTCTCTCTCTCTCTCTCTCTCTCTCTCTCTCCACAGTCTCTTTAGGGCAGGTTGTGTTGACTCAGTCTGGAGATCAGACAGTGCAGCCTGATCAAACTGTCACTATTACCTGTAAACATGATCCAGCAATTGATTGTTACGATACAGCCACCAAGAAGAAGGACTGTGTGTCCTGGTATCATCAGATACCTGGAGAAGCTCCTAAACTCTTAATAAGCTATGCAACAGAGCGCTATGCTGGTGTTCCCTCTAGAATCAGCGGCAGTCGAGCAGGAAACAAAATTGACTACACTCTCACTATTACTGGAGTCCAGCCTGAAGATTCAGGAGTTTATTACTGTCAGAGTCAGTTTTCTAAAAATATAACCCTGGTATTGTTTAACATTAACAAACTAACATATCATCACTTTCCTAAAAAAAGTATGCCCAATTTAAAAAAAAAAAAAAATCTCCACTTTTTTCTCAGCAGCTCTCCTTTACATAGTATGAAAGTTTCTTTATGAACAGACCAATAGAAACACTCCAAAATTACTTGAACAGGTGTCTTTACCTTGACTCACATTAGAAGTTAAGAACTGTTTGGTTTTCTTCTATAATGTTACCACTGTGGAGAGACAATATATAATAATTACAATAATACAGTGTAATATAATAATTAAATACCTCAAGAAAAAGTTTTTGTTATTTCACATTTACACCCCAAATTATACTCTAGTAAGAACAAAATAAGTTCCAAAAGAGAGTCACAGAGGCAACAACTTGCTGCAGTGGTTTGAGGTCATTGAGGTGACAACTACCAGTAGCTTTAACAAGTTTAGATTGATAGCTTGTGCTTTTATTTCACAAACTAACAACAAATCAGCAGGTCATTCCAATGTAACTCACCTGAGGCCTTGCTGGTCACACAAGAGATTTCTATGAAAAATTTGAACCAAACACTTCAATTTAATTCATGCAGCCATCCAAAATTTCAAAGCTGTTTTTACTTCTGAATTTTCTTTGAAGTTCTCATCATCAGGCTCAAAACTGCATCCTGAATATTGGCTTTAACGGCTTACATAATAACTGAATTGAACTGAAATATTAACTAGGTATAAATACAGCACTAGCTATTTATTTCACATTGAATGAACTGGTTTCATTTTCAAAGAGTTAATTTATTGGAGAATTTACTTTTTATGTCAGAATGCATAGTTTTTCATCTTGATCTTTCAATCTTTCAGTCAGTCTTCCACATTGAATTTTTCCTAAATAAGAATAATTATGGCTCATTAACCTAAGAATTAAAATTACAAATGTGCTATGAGTTATTCTTGCTTTGATTTTAATGGAGTATTGAACTAAAAAGAAATTGTAAATAAAAATCACTAGATTTCTAAATACATTTTTTTTTCTAATTTTCTAAGTGAAACTAATTTAAAATATCCTCACCAGGGAACACAATTCTGCATTTTAATGCCCAGTTACTGTTTATTGGCTGAAATTAACATTAAATAAGACAAAATGTGGCACATTTTATATTTGATGTTTTATTTTTTTCCATTTTTAAATTCTGTTATTGGAAAGCAACTGAACTGAACCTGCACACTAAAATGTACAATTTAAGAAAATACCATATTTAATTGTGTTCTCTGTAGAGAAAGTGTCTACTTATTTTCACTTAGTAAATCAACAAAACATGCTATTTGACTGAGGTTGATCAAACAACTTAATGCTCCACAGAGGAATCAAGCTGTGTAATGCAGGCTCACTGCCACATTATACATGCAGTGAAAGCACACATGAGATCAATAACTGAACAATTCAGGAAGCTTCTGTTTTATCAACACAGCAAGTAACATCTTGTATGTGAAGACTCAATTTTGGTAAAAATGTATCTTAACAGGTTAGTTACTGCATAGATCTGCCTGTTTCTGCAGTCAGGAAGATAATTTTCACAAAACACACACACACACACACACACACACACACACACAAACAAACCTGTTGGAAAAAATGAGTGTTTTGGATGCTGGTATGCTGGTCAACTAGCAAGACAATGTTATCTGACCAGCTGAATCAGCACCAGACCAGCATAAAGCAACATAAACCAGCTGAGACCAGCATGGAAATCATTTTTTAACTCTCTATTTGTTTAAAGTTTTGAGAATGAACTGCTTAAAATCCCAGTCTTACTTCCTAATGCTGCGTTTACATACATAGTTGAAATCTAGACATTCATAAAACAAACAAAAACACACTATCAGAAACCTTAGTGTGTGTTCAAAACACTTTTAGGACAAAATAGTGGCTCCACATTCATTCTGCACACTTGCAGGAACACCTGTAATGCTAAATTAAGCAATAAAGCACAATTATGCTACCAATTATGCTATGAGGCACAGAACAAGCTTTTTATTTTTTTTTTAACGCTAACACAAACATATTTTATAATTTTCATAATATAAATGCTTCTGAAATATCAACAAAATCATCTATTGACACAAAATTATGACCATAAAAATATATTCATTTATATTAACTCTTTCTTTTACTCATTACACTTCTCTCTCTCTATTTCTATTTCAATTGTAGAACTGAATAGTGTCCAGTGTTTGGATGGACAGCCTCTTCCCCTGACCCCTCGGTACGAATCTAGCAGACTTCATGGAAGTTCCCAATATTTGCTATCCTGTGCTGGCACCTCAAGTACAAAGACATCTGTCTCCTCTTTAGAGAAACTTTCTTTGCCTCATACAAGATAAACAATAATGTGTTTGCATTTTCACCTCCTATTGATATCAGACCCACAAGTTGTATTAATGAAAATACACCAGTTCCAAAACTGTAATCAAGAATTGAAGCAAATAAAATAACTGG